ATTTCAGAGGCGGCCCCTTCTAGACAAGGGCCCTCGATTTCAGAAACAAACCATGAACATGCCTTTCTGGAATATTCTTTCAGCCAACAATGGGGCTCCCCTGTCCAGAACTGGACAAAGGTTTGAGGTGAAACGCTACAATCGGACATTTCAAAGGAAGCTCGCTGTTTCTGCCGTTGACGGTTTGTGTACCGTTCTGAGGGGTTTCTGTACAGTATGTCTTGGATGACATGGTTTTTAAAGTGAGCGAGTAGGTCTTTCTCCTGCAAAAGAATAAACTGTTCAAACAATTGTACGGTGCAACCTATGTACTATAGAGCACTGAAAAATTCAGCACATATGTAATCATATGACTACATTTCAGGCTATCTGGATGCCATTCATGAATTATTTTAATTTGGATGTGATGCATACCTCACCATTTATTACTGTTATGTGTCATTTTTCCCAAACCTGTATAGACTGGCTCCCCTCTTCCTCTTCCTTTTAGTTTTGCCCTTTATCGCATTGCAGGCCTGACCTATTCTACAAAGGAACAAGTAACAGGTTTATTCCATGCTGAAAAGAGAAGAAAGAAAACACACAGTTTCGGCCGTGGAGCCTGACCTATTCTAGCTTGTTCTGTTATTTTGCGATCTGCACAGTATGTTTCTCAATACAGTCTATTTTGTTGCGTTAATGTCCTTTGTGCAGTTTTCGTGTATGTTTTGTGCATTCAATTAAAAGAAACACATACAAGTGCTTGGCGATCGTTGTCAGTGGTGTCTCCCTTCATGCATCATGGACATAATCGATGGTGTGTGTGCTTGCTTACAGATGTACTTCATGTCTTCACGGCACAGCTTTTACAGAGCAATACTTTTTTTTTCCCCCAACAGAGCAATTCACATTCCGAGCATCCTTTGGCCTCACCAAGAACATTTATCTCTGCTTTGAGAAGCACAAGAGGAAACAAAAGCGCATTTCTAATCAAACCACGTTCGAGACCCAGGTTTAATTGCAGTGACTGCCAGTGGCCCACAGGCAGCAGCAACAACTCTGGGAAAGGACACCAACTGGCCTGCAACAGAAAATCTCAGGGTGTGGGCTGGCCAGTGATGGGACAGTTTTACGATCCGTGTTCCACCCTTATCTGTCAGCGATTTACAGCAGGGGCCTTACAGCACCTGGCCAATTACAGAGCAACATCACCTACAGGATTGATCCTGGCTCACTAGGCAGCAGTCACTGTACTGTAGGTGCAAACCACTCCAAAATCTAAAATAGAACAGCTCCTAGTGTTGCCCAGCATCCCAGACTGACCGCAAAGCTACAACAGGCTGCCAGGTTAAAGACGGGCAACGCATAGATGTCACCAGAGCCCCGGTGTTACTGTACGGTACTTATGAGCCCTGCACCAAGTCGTTTTCAAGATAAAAAAAAATTTAAATGTTGAAATCACAAGGGAAAGCTGGTCCTCAGCATGAGTGTGTGCTGCGTCTGTGCTTGTGCGTCTCCCCTGCAGTGGGCTGTTGTCCCTAGCACACTGGGTGCACCCCGGCGCATTCCCCTTGTTTTCCAGGAGAGGCACCGGCTCCCCAGCGACACCGCACCGGAAGAAGCCCGTTAGAAAATGGATGGATGGGACAGGAAGACATTCGATGCTTCAATACATTTCTATTGTGTTCCCTAAAGGTAAATAGAGTGTCCCGCGGGACGTCCGCGTTGATATCCTTACACTGGGCCTCGGGGTTCCAAACGGACCTCAAAGGTGACAGGAAAACGTGGAGTTTATCGGCGTCATGAGGGGTTAAATAAAACGAACTTGGGCGATGGGTTACCAAGCGTGATGTCACAGGCGAAGCGTGGTTAGTATTTGGAGAGGAGACATTAAACACAAGGACCATTAATCTGGCAGGAAGGTGACATTCTACCTTCTCCACTACCTTATAAATAACAGCTCTGCGCATTGCAGCGAAGGATCAGGCTCTGTGTGAGATGCCTTTTTTGGAGTAGAACAGATTGGTTTTGTCCCCTTATGATGACTCATTAAGTTGACTGATGCCTTTAATCTCAAGTGATTTGCATTAGTTCCCAGTAAGACGGCCGAGAATTTAACCGTGGGTCTCTCGACAACACTTCCAGGAGTAAGGCACGACAGCAGCGAGCCACAGCGCTCTGGGATTTGAACCTGCAACCTTCCAGTTACAAGACCAGAGATCCAACTTGTACTGCAAAGGTTGAAGGTCCTCTGGTCCTTATGGGAAAGGCTGGGGTGTTTAAATGAATTCCATCCCCTCATTTTTTGAGGGTCAATTTTTTTTTTATTCCTGGCACGCCTCCCGTCTCCAGACCACCCTACTGAAAAGGCGGATCTTTAATCACAGCAGGATTCCTCCGGCTGAAGAAAAAAAAATGAAATGAAACCCGACTTCTCATCGGGAGCCAGTTTTTCTTGATCAGTGAGCTTTGCATGTCAAATCACCCGAGCAAAACGAACGTCAAGGACCTTCAGGAGCACAAACAGTGCAGATGATACTCGCCGATTCTCTTTTCTCAAGCCTCACGGCCTCAGATCTGGGGACTGCCTGTGTCTGGCACCCTAACTCCTCAGTGAATGGGGTACCTCTCTGGACCCCGAGCATAAAGAAGGCCCTGTGTGCCCAGCTAGCCCAGAGAGCAGGGCACATTCCCTTGGGCAGAGAGAATAACACGACCCCCCCCTTACACTGCAGAGAGGGAAGTAAGGACCTGCTTGTCAGGCAGGCTGTCTGACTGCAGACAAAGAGCATCTGTTCGCCGGGCATCTGGAGCACAAGCTTGTTTTCCGGACGCCGTTTGGGACTCAAACCCATTGGCGAACGCCAGAGCCTAGCAGCAATTTCTTCCCAGGAATTTTAATTGGGACCCGTGTTGTGTAACTGGCAAGCCCGCCCCGGTGCCTGGAGTGCACACGTTGGGTTGGACTCGGGAATGGGTCTGACAAAGAAAGGTGAAGCGTTTTCAAGTCTTCTCAAAAGGAATCTTAACGAAGGCAACGAGGAGGACAACCACCATAAAGTCGGGAAGTGAAAAAAACAAAACAAAACAAGCACCAGATTTGATTTTAAAATACAGTGTTGATTACTGCTTGCTTACTGTATGTGCTGGTTTTATTTCTTTAATCTTCTCAGAACTCGTCCTCTACAATGCAACACTTTTGCGACAGCACAGTGACGCTTTGCTCTGGGTTCCTGAGGAAATGTGTCGTCTGCGAATTTTAATCCCGTATATGAGAGGAATTAACAGTTTACTCAAGGAAAGCAGTCTGAACAGGATGAGTGGGGGAAAATCGGAACAGATGTGCGATATCACACTCGACAGCGACACTGGAGGGCTCCCCGTTCCTCCGTCTCACAGACTCGGGGTCTGGAGGGCGAGGGTACAAGGTGGTGGCGTCAATGCTGAGAAAAACCGCCCCATGCGAAATAACGGACACTTAGATTAAGCCATGAAGCAGAAGCTTTTACTTCTGCAGTTTTAGCCACGACTCCGCTTACAGTGCGTGTCACGTCTGGCTGTTTCTGTCAGTAAGAGTTGGCAAAGGTAACCGTCATGTCAGCCTCCGCGGTTCCGGGTTTGAATGACGGCTGAGATGCTCGTCTGTGTACAGCTTCACCTGTGAGGCGAGGTCCCGCCGGGAGCCTTTTCAAGGTGACGGTTAACACAGTGGAGGGAATTCACTTCTTCCATTCTCGTCAGCCCTAACTCTCTGGGTTGCACGCCAAGCTAGAAGACCTGCAACACCTGTCTGACAGCACACAGTCACCCTTCTGCAAGACGATTTAAACACGTGCCTTAAGGCGATTTGAAGGGTCCTGGGTTAATAATTCCAGGCGGGACGCTGCTATTTGTACCCCCTGAGCAAGGTGTTTCCCCCACATTCCTCCAGCGAGAGCCCTGCTGTATAAACAGCTCCCTTTAATGTCAACACGCAGGTCCACTCGTCACTCTCAATGGCCCCTGACCGAAGCCCGTGCGGACCCACGCGTGTTCTATGACTGCTTCATGCTCGTTTCCTACTCGGCTTTGACTCATCATTTCCGCACGGCCTTGATTCATCATCACTCGCTTGGGCAATTGCGCATCTTCCAAAAAAAAAAAAGAGAGAAGAAAAACAGAAGTTTTACATTTCCTAACGAAATGTGTGCTAACACCCGCTCCACTGTTCAAGCGACGAGTTCCTGCACTCTCTTGACACATCCCACACAGTCACTGCCTGGCGTTTATTGAGCGGTGTGCAACCGAGCACAGTTTTAACAAACTCCGAACGGGAAGGTCAGCGGTACCTGCCGGTTCCCACACCGGGCGAAGCTCAATTTTATTACCGTCACGTCGCGCCAGCGGCGATCAGTGTTGTAGAGGAGAGAGGGGTGGGGCAGGCACGTTGAAATGACTAAGAAAACGTGGAAACACCACTGCACACATCCGCAAGCGTTCACATTACAACCAACCCCACCAGCCACGCACTAAGGAACAGCCAGTGGAGTGCGCTTACACGCGTGGATCGACATGCACGGTTAGTCGATGCGTTAGTACCCAAACCACATACTGTACAGGGAAACTAGATGTCCCCGAAATACTCGCCGGTAATCCTGGATAAGAATCGGGGTTTAAACACCCTGAGCGTCTGGCTAAATGTCCCCCAACTATAGCCGCTACTCAGCTAGTGCTCCGCGGTTCAGATAAGTTTTACCTTCAGCACAGGCGGTTTGATTGCTTAAACAAATGTGCGGCGCAGGGCTTTCAACTTGCAAAATCTGCAATACCGATAAGTGATTGATACCTGCCGATTGCTCCTGCAATGTTACAGTCAAAGGGTAAGTAAAACAAACTTGGTGTCCGAGTCTTGCCACAGAGTGGCGAGCCAGCGGGTATAAGGAGCTCAGCTCCCCGGCGTCAGTGAGCACGCTGAGCGGGGGACAGCGCTCATACCAGGCGGGGAAGGGAGACAAAAACCGAAAACAAGCAACTCAACTCACTGCTTGAACATCTTTTCCATGTCCTTGATCTGCTTCCTGGAGAACTCCTTGAACTCGGTGTACGGGTTGAACACCTTCATGCTGGGCTGGTGATGCTCCCCCACCCCTTCGTTCAGGTCCGTCCGGCGGAGCAGCTTGGCTCCCAGCTCCGAGTCCGCGTTGGCCGTCGCCGGCTTCTCCTGCGCCCCGTTCTCCTGCGCCCCGCCGGCCGCCGGCTCCTCCGCGCCCTCCTCGATCTGGAGCCGCCGGGTCAGCTTGGATGCCAGCTCGTCAGTAGCCATTTCGGGGTGGTTGTTGCTGTTGTTGTTTTTTTTTCTCCCTTTGGATCGAATTTAAAAAAAAAAACCCCACACACAACGGAACGGAGAAATAAAATGCTCTTCCAATCCCACCGCGCCTTTCCTTTAAAACCCGAATAAAACACTTCGCCTCCTTCCTCTCCTCGTCTGGAGACACGCACGGGCGAAGTACGCTCTCACAATGAACTGCAGTCTGGAAACAGATAACCCACCTAATAGTACAGTACGATAAACTCACTCAGGGCACCCCCACTTCCTTAAAGAGACAGCGGCGCGCTGGCGGCCGGCTCCCCAGTTCGTCGGAATCCGCCCGTCCCTCCGCAGATATCCAGCCACGCCTCTTAAAGAGACTCGCCGCGCTGGCGTGCGGTCTTCAAGAAAGCTTTGCCGTGCGTGTGTGTTTTTAATTTATCCCTCTACCTTTTTCCCCCACCCCTGTCATCTGTCGCTTACGACACGCCTTAAGTTACCCTCCAGGGATGAGTGAAGCGTTTTGAATTGAATTGAAAGCTGTGAATGCGCAAACCTGTCTGTTCTGCAGACGGAAAGTCTTGCGAGCCCTCATTAATGCAATAGTATCCCCTTTTCTACTGTAGGTATATGAAACCAGGGCCTGCCTGTTTTACACAGCACTACATATTGTAAAAAGAAACGTGGAGCGTTGTTCCTGCAGGTCTATTTTTTTTCCCTTTTGCTGTTGATCTATTTGTGAATCAAACTCGCCTTTTAATAAATGCATCCAAATAAATTCATATAACGCTCCAGGCTGGTCGAGGCTACGTGGTCGAGACGAGAAAATGAAATCCGATTAAATGAAGGCCGGATGCATTAAACTTTCTCGCGTTCAACGCACGAAAAGGCTAGATTGTAATCACAATGTAATCACACAAAACATACGGAAATTGCGTTTTTTTGTTGTTGTTGAAAATATCAAAGATGAAGTCCTTGTGAGTCGTGCATTTCAAGTCTGAGGGATGCCGGAGGGTTTCATAGGAATTTACGCCCCAGAACCACGGCACAGACAGACGGGTATCAAACCACAGGCAACTGGGAGTGTCTGCATCATAGGCCACCCCGGGGTGTATTTTTAGGATTCCAATGCACTGTAACCTCAGATGACCGGCACCAGGTGCCAGTGAATTGGCTTCTGGGCTCACAGCCGCCGGTCCTGTGTATGTGATACGAAGAAGCGTTTTATCATTAAAGCATCTCGAAAAAGGGTGCAGACGCACAAATACGAAGAAAGCCAGTCTGGCGGACGGCTAAAACCGCCGCTGGCCTGAGACAAACCGTAGCACCCCCTCTGCTTCATCAAATCCCGTGGATGATTTCAGACACCTGTGCCGGGCTCTATGCAACACTCACTGCCCTACATTAATCTCCCAAGACTACGCTTGTTAGGCGCCCTCTTCTGGAGCAGCGAGGTACTGCAGCTCAGCTTTCCGAGAAGTCCATTTAAAAAGGATTTTCCACTGAGTTTTTCTGCTTTCCCTGGTTGCAGCTGCCCGTGAGACATGGGGTAACACGGGTGCAGAAGTCCTTTCTGTGACTTCAATGACATATCTTGATTTCAAATGCCCTGATTGTTTGTATGCGCCCAGTGTTTGTATGGGAAGAGTTTGAATTACCAGACCATGCCTCCACATCATTGCAAAGAATGTCTTGAGACCTCTGTATGCAGTTCAGGGTAGCAGGGGAGCTGGATCCTATCCCAGTTAGCAACAGGCGCAAGGCAGGGTGCACCCTGGACAGGTTGCCAGTTCATCGCAGAGCGCACACTGCCATAAATTCTCACACCAGGCCAATTAACCAGGAAGCCAACTAACCCACCAGTATGTCTTTGGACTGTGGGAGGAAACCCATGTGAATGGGGAGAACATGCAAACTCCACACGGACAGCATCCCATGAAATGAACCCAGCGTCCAGGAGCTACAAGGCAGCAACGCTAACTACTGCACCACTATGCAATCCAGCTTTTCTTCAACCTTTTGAAAACATTTGTGGGCACTTATAGGGGGAAAAAAGTCGGAAAAGGTCTACAAATTATTAATGGGAAATTAAAACTGCTTGTTCAAAAAAGCTGTCTCAAATAGGAAGCTTAAATCTTTAAAACATTTCTATTGAAACATGATTAAAAAACAGGCAAAGGGCAAAGACTTAGTGCGAGACAGCAGAACATGGCCTATACAGAGTGCAGGAGCACAGCTGTGTTAAAGGTCTTATACAGACAGGACAGTCTCCACCCGTCCACACAGTTTGCTTTGCCAGGTGACGGCCACAGCAGACGCAATATCTAAAACGTTGACGCCTCATTTACTTATTTTTGCGCAGCTTTGTAGTTGGAAACTGGGGTCTGGGGAGATTACTAAGCGCACCTGTAAATGACGGAACACCTGTCTCAAAGGAGCCCTGCTCACAGACTCCCATCACTGGCTGGATGACGTCACCCACTGAGTTTCCCTGAAGGAGGAAGATGAGAGAGTCGGAGCGCCAGAACCTGAAGACAGCACCCTAGCCTGGCTAGGGTCTTAGGTCTGCTTGCGTATTTATTCATCTGAGAAGCGGAAAAGGCGCACGAGTTATTGACAGAATCAGAGAGAGAAAATGACTCAAGTTGTGATATCAGTCACAGGGCGTCTGGGTAGTCGCAAAAGGCCAGCCTGATATGGGATCTAACGCCGCACGGCTTCAATAAGTCATAGCTGCTGACACAATAAAGTCCCCCCCGCATTCTGTAAATGAACACGTGGCTTCTCGAAATCACTAGGTCCAGGTCTGTCCATATCGGCTTTCGTTTACATCCGCGAAAAATATTCCAAAGGCAAAAAAGCCCCTGAAAAACCCCAATTAGAAATAAAATAAGAATGCAAAGAGAAGCAGAAGGGTTAATATTTCTAACAGGGATGCCAAGCACGCCTGAACATGAAGGGGGCTGTGTCTCTTTAGGCCCTGCAGAGGGGCTGGTGGTGGGAGGAAGGGTGGGTTGGATTTTAAGAAACACGGAACAATCTCGCCACGACCAAACTACCCAGGACTGTGCTAAAAGTAAATGTTTTAGGGGACGGAACCTAGTTTGTTTGTAATCCTTCTGACTGGTCGGCTGATTCGTAGAAAAATGAGGATGATATTTGCTTTCCCCGAGAAAACATTTCTAATGCTGCTAATTGTGTGAGCTGCATACTGGCTCAGCGTGACTGTGTGTGCACATCGCGTCTACAGTTTCTTTCATTTATTAAAGAGCAGCGTTATTCCCCTGCCCAGCTCTTATCAGGTGGTGATCAAGCCAGATAAAGGTCATACAATGCCAGGAAAATGATTGGCCAGGCCTGTGTCACAAAGCCACAACAGGAACCACTTTTGTAACCAAAAATGGATCTTTGGCTACATATCAGAATTTACACACGCAGGCCGCCATTATCTCTGAATATGCAGATAATTACAGAAAGTGTTTTCATTATTTGCCCAAGTATGAAAGCAGTGCATGAAAGTACTGTTTATAGGGAGTTTCTAATAGTTTAAAAATAATGAAGCACATAAATAAATAGGTTTCAATATTTTTTTATGGAACGTTGATTTATCAATGGGTCACTAACAAACAGTATTAAAGGACCATTTGTACTGTGGATGTCACGTATATAAAATGGATAATATATATTTGCTCACCTCTTTCATACCTCATCTGTAAGAGTCAAACAGTTTGAAATATGTGTTTATGAATACACCTCACTTTTAAACTTTACTGATCACTACTTTTAAGGGATCAAGTGGTTTTTGTTACTGGGTGGTTTGTATTACCATATTAGGCTACAAATTGTTATCGATGTGTGCAGTGGTTGTGCTTCTAACAGGATTTCCTCAAATTCAGCTTGAACAGTAGCGTGTTTTGCAAGATTGGTAATAATAACTTTTTTTTTTAAGTTAATGGTGTTCTCTCATTGTTGGGTTAGTGCACTTACATGCCCTAGCTCCTTAAATCCTTCAATCTTGAAATCCTTTTATCAGGAGGGTGGTCAGAAAATAAAACAAAACAACTGAAAAGCTCACTGTGGTTCATTATAGAAACTCACATACAGTACAAAGAGGTGGAATATTTTATGATATAAGGCTGACAAAGGTGAGAATGGAAGACTGTTTTACGTTTGACGTAAGTGATGTCTTCACTAATCAATATTTGATACTGCATGCTGCATTTTGTATTTTCCCTAATGATAGATTTAATTTTAGACGTCCGTATAAACATGTTAGCCAAGTCTATTCTCTCAGAGAGCCAGTATAAAACACAGAACAGTACAGAGTCCTGTTACAAATTAATACCTCACTTCTACAGAACAGAAGGCGCAGCTTCACTCCTGAATCACGATTCAGGAATGAGTCATGAAGTTCCTTCTCCCTCTCACCCCCCCTCACATGTCCACACTGTTGGTGCTGATCGCAATCTGTCAGCATGCATTTTTCATTTTCCACTTGAAAAACTAGCAAGCAACTTCTCGATTTCAGACTACAATAGAACAATAAGATATAAGAAGTCTGGCAAGACTCTAAGTGATTACATTTTTATTATCGGTGAACATTAATTTTTATTTAGTGTTTAAATTAATCTGAGCCTGGTGCTTTACTTTACATATTGCTGTTGAAGTATCAGGAATCCCAGCATTTCTGATTAAATCTCCTCAAGAATGTAACATCACTGATAACCGGTACACAGGCTGCAAAGGTGATGTGCTGAGTAACTCAAGGTTGGCTGGTTTAGAACATGGGCTTCAAACTCAGTTCCCACAGGGAGTGTGTCTACTGGTGTTTGTCCTAACCTCAGTTTAGTAGTCAATTATAAAACATCCTATAATTTGGTTTTAAATTGGATGTATATATGATTTTTTCTTTTACGGTGGATTACAGCTGCATTCATTTTAAAAGTACAGTTGCCTATAAATCACTTCAGAGCCTTGTTAGGAGTAAGTACTGTTTTACAATTCCGCAGCTAATTAAATAATTAAATTAACTGAGAAGGGGGGTGGAACAAAACCGAGAATTGTACCGGCATCTCTAGGAATGGAGTGGGAGACCCGTGGTTTTGGACAGAGGTGCACAACTCCAGTCCTTGAGGACCACAATCCACCGGGTTTTCCAGCTCAGTTGAAATCAGCAGCAGCTGAAGACCTACGAACAATGTTAAGCTGGTCCAATGAAGTTAATGATGAGCTCAATCATTCTCCCAGACTGGAACTGAGCACCACTCAGATCTGCAGTGTAATCTGAGCAGCCACAGTGTCTTCACCTTTATCTAAAGTCCATCAGAATGTTTTCCATTACGGCACAATCTGGTCCTGGGTCTGCCCCCTGAGAACGTCCCTTTCGATTTCTGTGACGTCGTTATAGAGGTCTGTACAGAAACACCGCACACTTA